GTAGTTGGTCCATCAGCACAGTAGTTGGTCCATCAGCACAGTAGTTGGTCCATCAGCACAGTAGTTGGTCCATCAGCACAGTAGTTGGTCCATCAGCACAGTAGTTGGTCCATCAGCACAGTAGTTGGTGTATCAACACAGTAGTTGGTGTATCAACACAGTAGTTGGTGTATCAACACTGTATAGTTTATGAGCAAGGAAGGTCGGACGCAAGGCTGAACGGAAGCCAGAACATCTCCCGGACTGTCATCGTAAGATGAAACACTGAGCATTAAAGAAGTCACGGCCGCTCGCGGAGCAGGACGACGAACGGAATATGAGGTCGATTTGTCGTCTCTCAGACAGGAAAGCTTTCAAGGCGAATGCGACGGATGGAAATAATGTCGTTATGAGAAAAACTGGAAGAAATATATTAGAATTACATTCTTTTGAACAACGGATATTGTACTGACAGGGGCTGAATGAGTTAGAAAATAGAAAAGTCCATCTCACTCCTCAGTCTATCATGCCGGGCAAGATACAGGATGTCATGTGCGGCAAATATATAATCGGTAATTTAAACATTTATTCATCGAACTAAGCTGCATAAATACACTTTTAAAGGTAATTGGCAACGGATTATGAACATTTCGAAGCAAGCATTCTGAATATTGGCGTGAGGTACACACAAACAAGCTGTTCACGGTCAAATAAAAATAAAACTTAATCTGTTGTGGACCTCCGTTCAATCAAACAGCGCCTAAAAACAAATCCAAAGTCCTTGCAAAAACAGTCAGACGCAATTTTGTTTCCGAGTCACAAAGCAACTAAAGAAAACAATTTAACGAGGGTACATAGAGGGAACTTAGGCCGCCACATCCAACAACACGGCCGTTATACAAGACAATTTTACCAGGTTAAAGGTCAAGGCGCGTCGCAAAATACAAATTTTGCAATACGTGAGTTACTGTTGCAATTTAGGTAAGGAAATTATCGGAACTAAATCAATTCAAAATATCAAAGTAAGACATTTTCATGCCTATGTATGCATATAATACGGATAGTAAGTGAATAATCTTGTAAGCCTGCAGGTGCAGGAAGTATGAAATTAATTGCTGGCATGGTAGTTTCTTTGACATGTATACTTAAATATTGGTAGTCATTTCCGTAGACTTTGCACACGTCTGTTCAAGAATAGTTTGACAATACAAATCCTTTTGTGTTTACGAGCGTTTCTAACTATGTCTGCTGGTAAACACATGAGGATTTATATCCATAAACTTATATGTCTAAACTATATCGGACATGTCCGGTGTCAGTCAGGCGTCTCATTATATTCATTATAACTATATTCTAAGATCAGAATGAGACGCTAAATTGACACCGGACACTTCCTCCGCAAATGAAAAATTCTATTGCGGCAGATTGGCAGACCTTTCCCTCACATTCGTTCGGTTAAGAAGTGTATTCGACTGTTCGTTTATAAAAGTAAATATTGTTCACTCTTGTCGAAACTACTAAGGAGAGGACGATTTTATCAAGCATAACTTGAATATAAAATGGAATCACAACAGCCCTAGCGCTAATTCCGCTCCACATGCTTTTTACGATTTACCTTCAATTAGCAGCCAGAAAAAACGTCGATAAATCCGCAACTCAAACATCGCTTGCTAACCTGAGTGCGTCAGTAAACCCAAAGGCCCACAGAAAAGTCCAGGGTGAAATATTGCCATCGTTAGCCGAGACAATGGGAAGTAAACAATATGCGGACAACAGCCTTCTCTGCTGATGATAAGAATAGTTTAGAGTTTTAGAGGCATGATTAGTGATTATGTATATTTCTGCAATGAAGGTATGATGAATTGGAAAATAATATTTAGGATTTAGAACTACGACAGATTTTTCAAGGCAGTATATATATCACAGCGGCGTCCAGACACATTTGCTATGCTGGTTTAGAGAAACTAATCAGAGTACCGAGCTGGATTGAATGATAATCACTGGAAGAGTTAATTACCCCTGCATTAGGTAACATCGAGACACACAATTATTGATGGAAAATTAAGTTAAGGCCAGCATGCTTCACCGCGACCGAGATCAATACGGCGGCGTGGGGAGCAAGGTGCAAGGTCAGGGATCAGCGGCGAGCTGTCGTCGCTCATGATTGTCATCAAGCAGCGGTGATGAAGATGCAGAAGCATCACACGCTAAATTAATGGCATGACGCAATGGTAATTAGGCAGAATTTAATTTGTGTCGGCTCCGTGAGACACAAAGAATTAGGAAGACGCGAAGTTCATGACTGAAAAATCTGGAGACTCTTATCATGCAGCGAGGAGGCCATAATTACTCCCACAGTTCGAGGCTTCTTGGGCGAGGAAATCCCTTCAAAAATGAATTTAAAATGAAATTTAAATGATTTACTGCGAACTGCAGCGTCATCATCAGTAGCTAAACATATCAAGTCGACGACGCTTTTGTAGCTCTTCGATTAACTGCTAAGATCTCAGCTCTCGAAAGTTGAAGACGGATCCGCATGCCAATATTGGCATGCGGA